TTTTCAATCTTACCACATCAGTAAACGATATGTATCTTCACTGCATGAAAGCTTTACTCCATCCATGTCATTAAGATAGAACCTGCTTTGAATAGGAAGCTATTATCTAGTCAACATTTCAGTAACATCCAACTTGAAGGGTTCATCTTCCACCACTGTACTGAGCAAAGTTATGATGTTATTCATGGGTGGCTTTGAGATAGGTAGTATAAAACCTGCTGCTTTGTTTTTCTGCTTCAGTAGTTTTTGCTTATTTGGGCTCTCTTTGTTTTCTATATGAAGTTGGTGATTATTCTTCTCATTTGTTTGAATAATATAAATCCTAGATCATTTTATTCCTTGCATTGGGAAATCTGCTCATGCTTTACCTGACATCCTTCAAGTTAATATACTGCACATTTTCTATTTCCCATGGTACTTAGTAGCTAATAATTTGTATATGGTTATTATTGTTATGTGTCATTGACGTTGTATATAGTTAACATTTAATAGACAGCTGTTGAATTAATAAGTATGTTACATATTTTGGAAACCATTAGTTTTAAGAAAAGTCGTAATGTCATGAGTTAGTACATAAAGAGTTCTGAGGAACTTTTCAATACTTACACGTTCTTTTAACTGGGTTACTTCTTTGTCTTTTTGTTTTTTCCACTGTCTAAACTTCTCAGCATCCTCTTTCATCTGACGCATTAACTGTACTCGCTGATTTTTCATCATCTGTGAAAAACAAATAATAGTCCACATATGAGTCATCAGTACTTTATTCTAGCCTGGTGTGGTGATGGATAGATATATACTAAGAAGAAATAAAATTCCACAGCTAACCTAAGAAGGTCACAAACAGATTTTATTATTACTCATGCAATGTCTCTTGCTATGATTGCCTTACAGAGTTGTTAAGTATAAACTAAGCAAATGAATAAATACTCTGAAGAAATAACAAAATAGTGGATATTGGTTAAATTTAGCCTTAAATTTTTATATATTAATAGCTATTATATTCTAAGTGTCTTTAAACAATCAGCCTATAACTATCATTTTACAAATATCAGATTTTGATCATTCCATAGCTGAATTTTTTTCTTTATTGGTGTCTGCCACTTTATTATTTAATATCTTAAAAAATTATTCTATATTATCAAGGAATGTGGTCAGGATATCACCAATATGTACTAAAATGTTTTTGTTTCAGAGAACTAAATATTAAACTCTGAATGTTGAAGCAGGGTTTTGCTATTTAGATTCCATCAGACCAACACAATGCTTTGCAAAACAGAGAGCTGTGGAGACTCATACTTGAAATGACGGCCCCACTTGGTACTTGTTCACTTGAAAACATCTCTGTAGTATAATATTTATAATTTCTAATGAAGTAAAAGCAAGGATGACAGTTTATTACCCTTATTTCTTGGTTCAGTTTGGAGACATTATGCTCTGTAGATTCCTTCAGCTTCAAAAGTTTGGACTGTTCATTCAGTTTCTTCTTTAGATCAGCTAGTTGACCCTCCAGTTCCTGGAGACGTTTACGGCGGCGCTCACTCAACCTAAACACAAATGCTACAGGAGTAAAGGCTCCCAAAAGCAAAGTTGGACTTCAAAATACTAGACTACTAGGTTCACTCATCTAACCAAATCATGAACACCACTCAAGTGATCAAAACATTCACAAAATGGGAGCTTTATACAAGGAGTAAAACAGGAAGTTTTTTTAGTAAATAACAATATAATTGCCTCAAAATATTTTCACATTATGTGAAAAGTTGGTTCTGTGAAGGAATTTCGGTTCACTTTGGCTACAAGAAATAATTCTAAGTCTGAGATAAAAGTAAAACATGTAACTTTTAAGAAAGCTTTATATTAAACAGAAATATTTATACAGTCACTGATAAAAAGAAGGCAAGTATTTTGTATTATGCTTTGGTTGTTTGTCTTAGCTTTAGAAGTAACTGATCAAGAAATGGTATCCTAATCAATATCCTTGAACGTATGCCTACTCATAAGTTAATTTACAATTCCCAAATCCCAAACCAACTGATCTTGAGTCAACTCAAACTCATAACAGAGTGAAATGGCTCAGTAGTATTTCTAAGGCTATAAATCTTTACATAAGGGCACTGCTACATCTTTCCCCCACAGAAGGGCTGGTAGGTTTGAACTGTGGACCTGTTGCTTTAGTAACTAACCATAGTATCACCAGTGCTCTTTAATGTACCATCAGTGCAGGGATAAGGAAATTATTGCTGTTTGTAAGGTGTAATAAATTCTCAAAACCCACTTCAAATGTTAACGTTATATAAAGTCTTCCTTGATCACCTATCTGGTGGTGTAGCATGTTGTGTTATAAACCAAAATGCAGTTAGAATCCATCAGCAACTTTTTAGGAGAAAGATGAGCAGTCTCTTCCAGATTTACACTGAAATCCAATGGATGGTCACTATAAATTGGAACTGAATCGATAACAGTGGATTACTTATGCTAACCTTCATAATAACCTGTCTCTAATTGATAAAGGAATTGTGACCTGAGAAATTTATTTGGCTATTAATCACATATTCATAAAGTTTATATTTTACTGTTATTTTGAAACATTATATAAAATATCAACTTTTTTAATAGGCAAAATCAATCTATTATCATCTGAAAGACCTAGAACAAGGTAAATTTAGAATCAAACCTATAAGACAAAGTAGATCCATATTTCACAATAATTCCAGTAGGTTAAAATGGATAGGCTTAACTCAAAGGCTTGGGTTTCCAGAGACTTTCCTAATGGTGAGGCTAAAGACTGCCATAGGATAAAGTGCAGATTGTTCAGGGCAGCATTCTAAGGAGAATAAATTTAGGAGAAAGTGTGCAACCTGGACAAGTCCGTGGACATATTATTGTGATTACACTGGAAATACAACAAAGGTAATGACAATAGTGGCAGTGCTACTATCACTCAACCTTTGCATCCAACAACTATAAACTATCGCATCAGCTACATGTTCTCAATTGTCTTTCCTTGTGTTATCTCTACTTTCTAAAAGCAGGTTTATTGTAAATGTGGATACAGTTCCACTATTCCTCCTCCATGCCATGATATAGTGTTATTAGCATGAGCAGTTATAAATCCATTACCTTCCTTACTCTAACTTAAATTTTTTAAATTTAAATTTATTATTAATTTCAGTAAAAATTAAGAAAGACATTGGATTTCTATTCATTCAATGTCGCACACTTCTCCCCTCCCAAGCCTCCCCCCAAGAACACTAGACTCTTGGAAAAGAAAAAGAAAAATTCTTTCATTGTTTTACAAACCCTCCCCCAGGTCCACTCTACCATGTAGCCTTTGCTCTAGACTCCTGTCATGACAAAAATAACTAATCACATATCCCTTTTAAACAGTTTCTCCCTCATCTGTTTCAATGCAGTATACATTATTGAACCCATCTTTCTCAGTCTCTCCCCAAACCCAAGGTCAGTCCTGTTTTACAATAGTGGCACCATGCAGTATTTGTCCATTTGTGGAAAACAGGAACTGTATTGGAACATGTATCTCTGGATTGGAAATGATCGTGTTGATAATATTTCTAGCCTTAAACTTAAAAGATTATATTGTTCAAAATTATTTGTTGTATATTTGTTTAAATTTCCCCCTTTTTTAACAACTAGGATCTAGAGGGAAAAGACCAGAGAGTGGCCAAAATTATTGGGGCAGCTATTGCTGCCAGATTAGAGCCTGTATCAGGAAAAGGAAGTCTTACTCATAAACAATGCCACCCAAAGGTAATAAAGGAGGTCAGAATTGCTTCCACTGTGGAAAGCTGGGCCATTTCAGTAAACAGTGTCACAGACGAGAGCCACAGATAGGAAAGCGAGTAGAGAGGAAGCTCCCACTCACTTGCTTTAAGTGTGGATCTGAAGGACATTTGGCCAAGGGCGGCCCACATCAGGTCCTCATGGATGACAGGACTGACAGGCCCCAGCTCTCAGCGGGAAACAAAGGAGGATGATTCAACGATTCAGATCCTCCCAGAAGAGCCGTGGGTGAGCATTAATATTACTGGTAAGTATATTCATTTTCTCCTGGACACAAGAGCCTATTATTTGGTCCTAAAAGCCTTCTGAGGTCCCAACTCTTCTCAATATTTCTTAGTTGTTGGAATTGATGGATGACCTCATAAGCAGTTCCTTACTTCACCTCTGCCTTGCATGTGGACTTCCGAGTTGTAAAACAACCCAGGGGTAGATGGAATTTGGTCTAGGACTTAAGAACAATAAATGACATAGTTGAGCCTCTACATCTTGTGGTTTCTAACCTTTATACTAAAATAGACAAAGTGCTAGTCAATAAGCCTTTTATTTTAAGAACCACCTTCCCTCTGTAACTTGATTTCTGCCACTGTTAGAACCTCTATTTGGAATATTATTGCTTTTAATTTTTGACTCATGTACTTTTAACTTATTAGCTAAATTTGTGTGTTCTAGGCTACAACAGTTCCATGATACATCTTCAAGGATACGAACATGTATGGCTAAGCACAATTGATAACAATACACCTAACTTCCAAATCAATCTCCACAACAGTCTACGTGTTTCCTATTGCCAAAGGGGCCCTTTAGAGTAGTGAGAGAAGATCTTCACCCTGAAACCCATAGCTTCCCTTTTCAGCAGGAAGTAGCCAAGAGAATACGCCATCCCCTTTTCCTTATGAATCAGAGTGAAGTCTCTCTCAGGGAGGAGTAATAGGGAATGGCAAAGGACACACTGACAAAGGAGATTAATCAGAGCTGGTTTTGACAAGCACTGTGGCAATGGGACAATTAAATCAGACTTTCAAGGAATATTCAACCTGAATCCTTCTGATCATATGGAGATTTTTGAAAGTATTTTTTGAGTTTGTTATGTTTAATTTGTTTGTGTATAAAGGATTCTCATCTAGATGATAACATAATTATGATAAAAACAAAAGGGGGAAATATGGGAAGCCAATACTAAATATTTGTAATAAATTGAATACTATTTAAAAAAAAAAGAAATTAATTCCTGATATGTGTTAAAAAACAAACAAACAAACCAGGTTTAAATCCTATAGAGGAAGAAAACATGTCTTATATTTCTCTAAAGCCTCTATAGCTTCTCACATGCACTAAGAACTTGTAATAATATTTATGACTTTATTCTTACTTGGCTTGGTTGACATCCTTCTTTGCTGTCTGAAGTTCAAGAACCAATTCTTCCTTTTCCTTTTGTAGAATGATGACTTCCAATTCGAGATTTTTTATATTATCCTACAAAAGGTCATAGTTCAGAGAAAAAGAATTACAAGGCACCTGAAGAAAATGGCTGAAATATTCCATGTCTCATGCACTGAATTTTACCACTTCAATTGTATACCAAAAATATATGTTCTTAATTTGATGAAGATTAAAGTAATGTAGTGGCAAAAATATGAACTTTAAAAGACTAGGTCTGAATCTTGACTTTACTATGTACTAGCTAAATGTTTTAGACAATCATTTCATCTCCTTTTTGTGTGCAGAAAAAAACATAACACAAGAGGCTTGAGACTGCTTTCCTTAGAAAAGTCTGTTTCCAAAATTCGCCCTTGACCCATGTTGCGTAGCTTAGATTTTGACAGGGTTTTTACCATTCCCTAATTGGTAAGAGAATAACAACGACAACGACAAAGAGAGAGCTACATTGGCCTAGTGGAAAGGAAGTTATGCTACGAAGCCAAAGGCAGATGATTTCCATCTGTGGCCCTCGGCCAGGTTCAAACTGTTTTCCTGTCAAACATTCTTCTAGGTGGTATAGCATTGGTTTGTGTATACAGAGGTAACTCGTGGTTGCTGTGATGCTGAAGACTGTGACAGTGATGTGCCAATCGTGGTAATGGGTACCCATGGTGGACAGTGTTGGCTGGAGCTTCCAGACTAAAACAAGCCCGGTAGCAGGAGCAGCATCCACTTCCGAAATGGCTTGCTCAGGCTGTTTGTTCATAGGGTCGCTATGAGTCATCTACGACTCGATGGCACCAAACAACAACAACAATTGGTAAGAGTAGCTCACTGTGCCTAAACTGCAAACAAAATTCTTTATCCTGAACATCACTTTGTTTTTTTTCCCCAGATGAGATGGTTTAATTCCAGGTGGTACAGAATACTTGGCATAACAAAGAATGAAGAGGAGATTCTGGATTGTGTTTCCTTTAACTGCACAGGTGAGATCAGAATGGCTGAGTGAGAAATGAAGAGATGGACTATCATATGGTTTCTTTTCCTTCTATGTTATACAAAAGTTTCTTCTTAAGTGTACAACAGGCTCTATGACAACACTTTAACTATAGGTGGCATCAGATGCTATAGCAGAGAATCCAGATGTTTTAAAAAGGAATGGAAGTAAGGTTCATCATTGCCTGTCTTATTTATTTGTTAATTCCACTCGTGGCCAGGGGACCCTGACTCGCAGCCTTCTCTTTTAGCTCCTCAAGTTTCTTCTGTACTTTTTTTTGTTTCTGCTTAAAAACCTTCTATTCCCCATCCATTTCCTTGGTCTGCTTCTTGGGGTTTTTTAGTGTCTTCTTACCACCTTTGTGGCCAGATATGGCACTGGCCCACATCACTTTTTCTTCTGGGTATCTGAAATTATGGTACATGTATATAGAGGTGTCTATATAGCTGACCTCTGGCAAAATCCCTAGATAACTCTAGGATTATGAGAGCTTCCTTGATAGATGACATTTTACATATACTGTCACAACTCATCCCTATAAGAATTAAACATGTCCTATGTGACTCGACTTGGATAGAAATTTTGAGACTTATACCTAATTTACTCTGGACTTTGTTCCATGTGCCTTTCCCTGCTGTTGACTTTGCTCAGTATCTTTCACTATAATAAATTGTAGTTATGAGTATGACTATATACTGACATCTGGGAATCTTCCTATCAAATCATTGAACTAGAAGTAGTCACAGAGGGCTCCCAAAAGTTTCCTTATCTAAGTAAACAATCATTACATTTAACTCACTAGGTTACTGGAAAGATCAAATAAAATAGTTAAAATGTAAAGAGAAATATTAATATATTTAGATAATGAAACAATATCTGTTCAATAGCTATGCACTGATATATGTGCTTCAGTAAAGAAAATTCTGGAAAATGTAGTTTAGTTGTATTAAAAAATGGGAAATCTAAAAAAAATGGGAAATCTAATTTATAGATTTTTCTAATAGTGGCTTGTTTTGTGTATGAGTGACAGGAAAACAAAAGTAAAATAAAACAAGCTGAGTGAGTAACAACCATGAAGTACTTAGACAAGTAGTGAACTGACATAAATAAGTAGAAACAATCTGTTGTTCAGCTGTCATCAAATTGGTTTTGACTCATGGCAATCCTAAGTACAAAAAATATAAGAGCTGCCTATTACTGCACCATTCATCCCATTATCAATTGGGGATTAGATTAATCCATAGAGCTGTTTTCCAATGAATGTTGGGAGCTAGTATAGTATAATCAAAGGATATAAATTTGGTAATATGTGTCTATATACTTTACCCTTATTTGTGTTAATATAATAAAAATATAAAAATATATCATTGAATTTCTCTAATTCAGTTCAATTCTATGTACAATATATAAAAATGATACCTGATCACACACTATCAACAAAGGAATCCATCTTAATAAAAAAATACTCTTTACTTGAAAATCTTTAAACATTGGAACTTGTGTAAGTGGAAAAAGAAAACTATTTTCCACTAAAATGAGTTTTAAAGTGCAACTCATAACGACCCTAAAAACAACAGATCTGAAACTGACTCATAGAGAGATGCCCTGGGAACAAAGAAGAATTTCTGGGAAAAAGAGAAGAGAGGTTCTGCAGGTGCTTCCTTATCTGAAAAGTCAGGAAGGCTGTAATTCTGTGAGAATATTTCTTTTTCTGCTACACTAGAGAATCTGTGACCTTCTAGGAGTATACACTTTTCTGGCCAAGATATGTCCAAACTCACAGACCCCCCTACCCTGCATTAAAACCACCAATGATAGAGTAGCAGATCTGCATCTTTGTCTGTTTCTTTTAAGAAGGCCCAACAAAGCAGTTCCAGGAACCCAGTCATTTTAGACATGAGTACTCCAGAGCTCCGCTAGTGTATTAAGTTTTGCCTCTTATTAAGGAGCCATTCATAGTGATTTACTCCCGAAGTGTCTCCCCCGGGTCTCACTTTTTTTGCAACATTATTGGTGCACTGGCCAGGAAGTGAAGCCACGGGAAGAGACACTGAGAATCATCTGGTTGTTACTGGCCCTCTGGAGACCCAATTCAAGGGCCCTGATCAAGCTGGAGTATAAAATCTGCTGAGCGCATGCCAAGGACATCTCGTGCCTGTGTGGATGCCTCGATGGGGTGGGAGGGAAACTACTGGCAGATCTTTGAGGGGACAAATGCTGAGATGAGGTAAGGCCTTACCTGGGAAAGTAAAATATAGGTAAAAGAAGGCCTGCACAGATGAAGAAGTGAGTGCTCCTCAAGCAGCTCCTTAGTATTCACTTGCAGCAGATGTACTAGTGGAGAAACCGAGAATGCAAAGAAATGCTTCTTGCATACAACAGAGGTAAGAGTGAGGAACTGAGGTGGTAAAAAAAATGGAGATCTATATGCAACACATATCATTTGGGAGAAGGCTGGACTATATGAAGATGAATATGTCAACAGAATTGGAAGAAGAACAACGTGCAGTATACAGATTATACAATCTTACATGCCAAAACTGAGGAGGACATGAATCACTTGTTGCAGAAGGGCAAAGACTGTAGCAAGACACTGTGTGAAAGAGTGTGAGTGGAGATTGACTGAGAGGGACACCAAGAGGCAGTTCTGGCTCCCTCTCACAGAGCTGAAGTGAGCAGAATCCCAAACCATGGTTTCGAGGTGACCACATATGACTACAAGCAGAACTGAGCAAACAATGACAGTGACATTTGGGATTACCAAACCCTCTGCACTGAAAGAGTCCAGAAAGAAATATCTACTCTGGAACCAGCCAGTGATGGATGAGGCAGGCATGCAACCTCTCCAGTTACCCTTCCCCTGACCCCACTCCAGTCTTGTGGCTTACCTGTTGTTTGAGGGAGAAGTATGGGAAACTCACAAGGGATACCTACTCCCTGGGAAATATAGAGTATCATTTTTTTTAAAAGGTTGACAGTGTCTATAAAGTAAATATGTCCCCTAGGAAATTTTGTGTAAGCAAAAAAGGTTTATAATTAAAACACAATGGTCTAGAGAGGGAAGTATGGACCAAAATTTAGTGGGGGAGAAAAAGTGGCCTGTGGCTATAGAGAATTTAGAATACTCAGCCACTAACCTGGCTTGCTGGACAAGACTCAAGGGCCCTAGCAGCAAAGGCAACTAAATGATACATTACAGAAGAGCTCTACCTTAGCTAAAAAAGCCTCTGATGCCTCCAATCTCCAAAAGTCCTTTCATCAGAACCAGAGAAATTTGAAGCCCTGGCATTCTAGTAGAAAGAATGAGCACGAGAACAGACTCCTTCTCCTGACTCTATCACTACTAGCCTGCCTGAAAGGATGCAAGAGATTCTTTCTCCACCCCACATCTGAAATGTAAAAAAACCTTAGCACTAAGCTGCATTATTCTACCACCTGCCCCTCCAGTGGAGGCACAAAAAACTCTCCAAACACATCTTCCTTATCAATCTATGCAACACAGAACATTTGGGAGAAGGCTGGACTATATGAAGAAGAATATGGCAACAAGATTGGAAGAAAACTATTCAATAACCTGCAGCATGCAGATGATACAATCTTGCTTGCCAAAACTGAGGAGGGCATGAAGCAATTGCTGCAGAAGGGCAAAGACTGCAGCCTTCAATATAGATTGAAGCTCAAAATCAAGAAAACAAAGATCCTCATTACCAGGCCAACAGGTAGTTAAGTATCAGGATAGATGGAGAAACGACTGAAGTTGTTAATGATTTTATCTTGCTTGGATCCACAATCAACTCTTGACACAAGCAATCAGGAAATCCAAAGACAAATTGCATGGGGAAATTGGCTATCAAGTATCTCATGAGAGTGCTAATGAGCAATGATGTCAGTTTAGAGACTAAGGTGTGCCTGATGCAGGCCAAGGTCTTCTCAAATGTTTGATATACATTTGAGAGTTGGACAATGACTAAGGAAGAATAATCAATGCCTTTGAGTTCTGGTGCTGGAGAAAAGTATTGAACATAACATGGACTGCCAAGAGAATAAACAGGTCTAT